ATGAGATAGACTCATTACATGCAAAGCAAGATAGTTTAAGCCGTGATTTGTCATAATTGTGATGATTATGCCTTACAGCTCATGAAAACCCCAAGAACCCCAAATCCACAACCTCAAAAAAGTAGATTATTACATGCAATCAATAAAACAAGGATTGTGCATAGAACAATATCGGACGTGAAAAGTACAAGCATGCATATGTACTCAGTATTTGGTTTGGGCCTTATTCTAATTATTCGAGTTTCACCTGTGTATATATATATATATATACATACATATATATATATATATATATATATATACATATACACACACACACACACACACACACACACACATATATGTTTATGTGTACCTAATCTGCAATATGTCTTCTTACTGTATTTAGATCCTTTTTTTCTATTTATGCATGATCCTAATTCCTGCACTCTACCTTTGTTTATCTGTGAGAACAATGGACTTCATGCCTGTCAGGACTCCCCTTGCTGTAATTATAAGCTTCTGGTCTCACATGTGGGTATTATCACAGCTCCTAGTTTTCAGGAAGCTATTTACAGCCCCCAGCCAGCACCACCCACCAGCCATGATCTGCCTACATTACAAAGGTAAGCTCAGAGCCCTAGTGATGGTAATCCTAGGTCTCAAAATAAGGCATGTAATAAAAACAGAAAGGCTTTATTTAATATATTCATGCATGTTGATGAGGAGGGAAAGGAGGAACCAGGGTGGGCACAATGGAAGCAGATTAAACTTCAGCTTTAAGTAATGCATAGAAATGTAAGAAATGCTCTTGTTTCTTATAAACAATGGAGAGAATTTATCAAAACTGGAGCAGGCAGAATCTAGAGCAGTTGCCATAGTAACCAACCAGCGTCTATATTCAGTTTGTTCAAATAAGCTTTGCAAATGAAAGATAGAAGCTGATTGCTTGCCATGGGCAACTGCTCCAGATTCTGCCTGCTCTATTTTTTATAAATTGCCCCCAATGTGTCATAGTACATCTGCAAGCCATGCACACTTGCCCATTGTAAAGGATGGCAAGAATATCTAAAACATTGCAGAGACTTAGTGAGACAATTTAAATACCCTGGATATCGGCCCTCTACCCCTTCAATTGCAATAGACATCTTGTAACAAACACACACAATTAGAAAAAAACTGTGACATTGGATCAGACTGCACCTTTCTTAAAGCCCAAAATACCAGATGGCCTTTTATTGCTGGATATGCAACAATTAAACAATAACAATGTATGGGTAGTCCAGAGTTTATGAAAACTTCCTTCAGGTCAAACCAGCAGTTCTGGTTTTGTGGATAGCTACTCAAGTAGTTAAAGTAGTATTGTTTAAATAATGAATCCAGATCAAACAAAAATACATTGCTTAGCAAAGCATTGCTTTACTTTTTTGCCCAAATACTTACAATCATTATGTTTCTGAAAAGCTACTTACACAAGTCTCTCAGCTGACCTTCCCTAAACCTCCTGTCCAGTATTAGATCACAAGGAACAGAGCAGACTCCAGCAACTGTTCATCTACTAGTTTGGAGAAAGGAGGAGGGAAGAGAGGGGGCCAGGGGGAAGGGGAGTAGCTTGATTTACTGTGTCTGTGTGTTTGTGGAGACAAACACTGCTTACTAACACTCAGAAAGGTGACTGCATAGCCCTCTGCTTGAGAAAGGAGTCACTCTAAAACAGGAAGTGTGGACCAGTGCTCAGGAGACCAGCTGATTCTGCAGGAAACTAAAACCCTCAAACATCAAGAAGATGCATCCATTGTAAGTGATTTATCAGCATTTGGAGCAGTTTAAAATCCTTTTGACTTTAATATCACTTTAAAGCAAATTTGTCTCCAACCAAAAACTTAGCCACACAACTATACCCTGCTGCTGCCAGATTTGGAATCCTGAAACATATGAATGTGGCAGAACACAAATGGAGGTCTGTCCAACCACGTGTCTAGGCACCCAATGACCATGCCTAATGCTGTCACATGGGGAGGATTTGACTAACAGTGTGCAGGAATCAATATTATCAAAAGTTGTCTCTCACACAGGAATTCCTTGGAGGTAGAATTTTGTGGAGAGACATTTGATTTATAGTTGAACACAAGCCAAACAGCTTAATACAAAAGTTTTAAAAAAAACATTACTAAAAAAAACATTTACTAAACAAAAACATGGTAGTTCTGTTTAGTCACTTTAGTGAATCACACATCCCTGTCACACTGCACAACCAGGAGAGAGGATGACACCTTTTCTATTACACAGATGAAGAATATGGTGGTGTCACCTAATACCCTGCAGCCTACTGTTTGGTCATTGAAAAAGCAACAGCATACTTAAGAGGTAATATCTGTATTGTCTCCTTCTGAAAACAACAGCTGATCCTTACTCTTTTATTATGCTGTGCAAGGGATTAGAGGAAACTGACACCACAACAAAATATAGGTACCCATGCTGTTAACTTTGACAAAACACATTTAGTAATTTTAAAATAAACAGCTTACTGCATTAAACTGTATTTTGCATATCTGTTCCAAGTTTGGCTTTATATCACATAGCTGAGGAACTAATTACCTCATTTAAGCATATGTGAGACTGCCTGCAAAACATATGCTATTGGTGTGATCTGCGAACAGGTTTAGGCTAGCCCTATATAACACAGATTACACCATGTTGTATGATGCATATATCATGCAATACTAATCAGCAAAGCCTTCTTTTATAGCAATCCAGAACTGAACAGACAAAATTGTGCGATGTACCAGCCAGGCAGCAATCCTGCTTTTTCATCATAGCAAACAACACTATGCAAATATCCCATCAAATGACATACAAACTAACAATGTATGTGATACAAGGTCAAACCGCAATCCATTGATTAGTCAACACACACTATTTAATGATCTATGTAATCTCAAGTATACATTTGTACCCCTGCAATGATTCATTTTTTATCCAATGTTAAAAGGGTTAAAAACAAAAGTGATCTGCATTAGGCCAGCCATAGTGGTAATGCTAAGTGAAGATGACTAAAAATAAGAAAGTACAAAATATAAGTCAGGACGTAATAGAATCTAGAATTCACAAAAGTGTATGTGGACAACCTTTATTTTGTACCTGATCACATTATATCAAGTTTACACATCAATCATTTCCTGTATCAGTTTGGTATCTCAATGTTTAGTTTTTTTTTTTTTGTTTTTTTTAAGATTAATGCATTGTGATCACAGAAACAAGTCAGGCATTTAAATACATATTAAGGAGTACATATATTTTCTATTTAGTATACAAATTATTTCATAGATATTATTTATTTTCGGAGAATTGTAAAGCATGGATTTATGCACTTGCACATTTTAACGTTATCTTCCTCTTTTTTTCTAGTTAAAGGTTAACAGAAATGATACTGTTTTAAAGAAACTGACGTTCCTTTGCATGCTTTTGACTTGTCTAAGATTACTTTTAAAACACTGTTTAGACAATAACAGAAACATTTTCACCAGCTTTATCCATTTGGAAGTAGACGTTAAGTATGAAGATAGACTTTACTGGTCACAGTTTTTTTTCTTTATCGTTGCAATAACCAATCACAGGGAGACAAAAGTTTTGCAATTTGGGTACAAAATATAGAGTAGTTGCCTCTGTGGTTGAGGTTAATTTTGTTTGTCATAATATAAAGTATCCCTTTGGCAATAGTGTCTGGTGCAATCCTAGAGGTCCAGATAGGAGATGATCTGAAAAATTAGAACCTACAAAGAAATTCCTTCAATCATAATCAACTGGACACTCCTGAAATCACCTGCATCTATGCCTATATAGATTATATTTGGAAGTTTAAAGTCTACCAAGGCACTTTTCATCATTGAATTACTGTCTCTATTAGGGTTTAATCTGCATGACCTACATTTTGCCCAGTGCTGTTTGTTCTTCAAGGACTTGTAAATAATCAGGTGTGCCTTGAAGTTTGGCTTTAAGTTCAAAGTATTCACTCTTTCTCTGCTCTACCACAATTTTACTGTGGTTCCCACCTATTAACGACTTCTTGCATTTCTTATCTTGTAGCTTTTCTGGATAGTGTATTTCAAAGCCACTGACTCCTATACTATTATATTCTTTTCTACTTTCTAAAAAATTCTGGATAAATAAATTAGAGTCTCTTCCAGGAAAGAACTCATCCAGTTCATCAATTGTGCTAAGTCTTTTCCTAGAATCCCCATGTGATAAATCCTTATCTTTGTCAGTCAAACTCCTGAGGACCACCTTTTGCCCTTGGTGATCAGTAAATGGAAATCCCATTTCATGGTCCTTTATGCCACATATGTGACTCTTACTCATTTGTTCAATGGTTTGTGGAAAAAAGGTTTCTGCAGAGATACCATCCATCTTAAGTGCTTTCTGGTCATGCTTCCTTAGTTGGAGCTGCATAGAACTGCACTCCTGATTCCCGATGCCTTCGTGCTTTACTGTAGGTTTTTTATTACGTCTCAGAACAAAAACAAGAAGGCAGAATGCAACAAAAACTGTTAATATGAGCACTACTAAAATACTAAGTATTAAAATAGACAAAGGGACGGGTCCACCTGGTGGACTTTTTATAGGACCCAAGGGTGTTGTGAACGTGATAGCAGGGATAGGACTGGTATATTGTGTGGGAGGCTTGTTTATCAGCTTGGGGCACAAAACCTCATTTTTCAGAGATCGCAGCTCAATGTTTGCAAACTGCACAGGTGTCTCACATTTGACCTCTTTCATGACAATGCCTTCACTCAGCTTCTCTAGCCAGAGCTTCAGAGCTACTAAATCACATGTGCAGTCCCACGGGTTTCCTTCCAGATCAATCTGTGTTAGAGATTTCAGCTGGTCAAGAACGCCACTTACAGGCAGGTACATGAAATGGTTATTCCTGATATTGAGTCTAGCCAGGGGCACTCCTGAAAATATATAAGCTGGCAAGCTTCTCAATAAATTGTTATTCAAATAGAGTAGCTGAAGATTTGGCATGGATTCAAAGGTCCCACCCAATATTTCCCTTATCACATTGTATTCCAGATAAAGGTACTGGAGGTTGTGCAAACCATTAAATATTTCAGGGCTCAGACGCTCAATTTGATTCCCATTGAGATAAAGCCTCCTTAGGTTTGTAAGGTTGCAAAATACATTTCCTTTAATCATACTTAGTTGATTGCTTCCCAAATGAAGTAGATCTAAACCTTCAAATTCAGCAAAGTCTGCCTGTTCCACCTGTTTAATATAATTTCCATTCACATGCAGTTTCTTGGCATTTACAGGCTTAGGTACTAGTTCAGCCATTGACTCTAAGTTTCTTTCCTGACAATTAACACTCAATCCTAAATCAGAAGGATGTGTTTTACAAACACAAGGTGATGGGCAAGGAGTGAGAGGAGGTACCCTTGTTTGAAATGACACTATCTGGCTGAGATTGTAATTAGAAACAGATTTTCCAGACACTATTCCAGAATTCTTGGAAGGGTTGGTAGTTTTAGGAGGTTTGGTGGCCAATCGATTCTGTGAGGTTTGGCCAGTGTTCCCTCCAGGCGTGGTGAATGTTGTCTCCATGGATGGAGGCAATATCCTTACATCAAAATCACTGCCAATTCCCATGGAGCATAGTTCTTGTTTATTTGTCTCTTTTAATAACCTTCCATACAAGTCACTTGGTGTTTCACAAATAGCCTCTCCAATGTAGATATTATATGGCATGTTCTCCAACCAAGCTTTCAAAGGCAGCAAATCACATGTACAATTCCAAGGGTTATCTTCCAACTGCAGCTCCACCACCCTCCCAATATGCTCCAAAACACCTATATAGGGTATCTTCTGTATTCTGTTTCCTCTAATGTCCAAATGAGTCAATGAAGCAAACCTAAATATATTGTCAGGTAGAGCAGAGACCAAATTGTCATTTAGAATAAGAACTTTCAACTTGTGTAGTTTATTGAAGGCTCCCCGCTCAATATACTTGATTAAATTGTAGTCAGCCTGGAGATACTCCAAGTTCTCTATGCCCAGGAAAGTGTCAGCCCTCAGGACTTTTAATTCATTGTTGTTCAAATGCAACTGTTTTAATGCACTAAGCCCCTGGAAAGCTCCTCCCTCTATATTCTGCAGCTTGTTGTTGCCCAGCTGCAGGGACACAGCATGGGTGAAATTAAGGAACGTGTTAGGATACAAAATGATCAAAAGATTGTTTTGAAAGTTCAGGTGGTAGAAATTGGACTGAGGGGGCTTCAGCTGGTTTGGTCGGTACACTGACACCTTTTCACAGTTGACATACAGCACATTTTCTACTGACAGGCACGAGCAGACACTGCAGATCTCCAGGGTGAGTTCTGAGTCCGGGTTGGTGGAGGATATTGGGGTGGAAAGGAACAGGAAAAGCCACACAAACATCTTCAAGCAGTGGCAAAAATATCTCAGTCTGCTGGTGTACATCATCTGAGCAAACAGAAAAAAATGGTCTTAATATCACTGATTTATTACGTGTCATGAGGCATGCATAGCATGAAAATGGTACTCACTGTCTGCATACATGTTTGCATGTGAACTGCATATGCACCGGAATACTAGCTGTCTACTTATGACACTTCCATGTACACAAACGTCCTTTTAAGATGTGATTAAAGCTGTACAGTATGTTTTCGTGTCATACAACTTTAGAATAAATTAACCATCAACAATTTTCTAAGCACCATCTCATATTCCACTTGGTCACATAACTTGCACTAGGGACAGATATAGGTTTATGAGAGTGTAATGGTAATCTGCATCCAGATATGAAAGATCTTATGATCAGTGCAACATAATTCTCATAGCAACCATGTTCTGCAAAGCATCATACATTCCTAAGTGTATTGTGAATGAGATCGTTTATGTATGTGCATTAACCAAATATACATCATTACACATTACATTTATACATGCAATCTAAAATGGGTGTCTGCAGTGAGTTTTCTTATACACACACATAGGTGTCTTAAAGTACAAAATCTACATGATATGAAATACATTATGCTAAGCCTCATATATGTTAATTGGACCTGTGTGCATACTGATGTACACTCAACTGTGTATTTATAATGCATACAAACAATATTACCATGAAAACAGTATTTTGCTTTCACTGTTTGTATAATCTACCCTAAGCAGCCACACAAGCAAATGTAGATTACATTGTTTAAAAAACAAGTCTACTGGTGCTTCTAATGCAAATGTGTCCCCTGCATCAGCTGGCTAAACTTTCAAGAGTAATCCACAATATTCTACATATGTGCATTTCAACTGCCTAGCACTTTACACCACAGCAACCTGCTAAATGTCACCGCTCCCTCCACTAAACCAGCACTCTGTCACACTGTCACATATAGCCCCATGCTGTCCCCACAAGGCAGTACAGAGAGAGAGAGAGAGCTGAAAAGGGATTGCATGCAGAGACAGAAAGAAAGAGAAAAAAAGAAGGAAGAGAGAAAGATTATAACAACACAGGTCAGTGTTAGACAGCAGTACCTATAATATCAGTGGCAAATGCCTGAGGTTTGTGATAGTACTGATTAGTACTGCAATGCTTTGCCGCAGCATGGTCTCTGCTTCTGCTGGGTGCTCTTGTCCTCAATCAGATATCTCCTCCAGAAGATGAACCAGGGCTATAAAATAGGGATCCCCTGGCACAGATCATTCATGCTAGAGCTTCTTTCTCTGTCAGTGTAACACAAGCCAGCAATAAGGAATCTATCCTCTCCTAGTCTCTGCAGATCCTTAATTAGGTACAGGTAGCAGGGAACAAATGAAGTGGCACCCACAGAGGCAGAGGATGCTAGAGAAAGCGAGGCTCTGGCCAACTTGCTGTGTCGCTCCTGTGTCTGGGCTGCAAGAGGGAGTCCACAGTGTGATCGGAGGGCAGGGAATTACTGGAGAGGGTCGTATAAGCTGCATCAAAAAGACTCCCAATATGAATAAACCACTTGCCTCCTAGTCATCTGTGTTTCCATGGGATAATGTTTGCTGGTGGCGAGTGTCAGGCTCAGGAAGAGGGTCTTTTCAGTCAGATGGCTGCTGGATGTGTCTGGTGGTTACAGGAGGGAAAGGAGGGGGGGGGGGG